CCACGTGACTCCCACAAAGAGCACCGATGTTACAATCATGTAATCGTATTAATATAACAAGGTCCTAACTAGCACTGTGGAATTGTTCCCCGGGCGAAGGAGCGCAGAGGAAATGATGGTAACATGGTTTTCGGATCCCTCAGGATCGGTTGCATCTGAGAAGACATTAAGCTCCAGATACGATTACTCGAGCAAAATGCTTCTCTGCTGCAGGCACACAAATACGACTTGCACACTGTCCACATGCCATCCCACCATTTTCTACGCCGCTGGTTCGAATTAGTGTCAAAGATGAGTTAGAGCCAAGACCAGATGACTTTTGGGTGAGAGGCTGGGTACACACTGGACTGGTCGCCAAGCAATCTCAAAGCACATACAGTATGGACAAAAATGAGCATTCACGCCTGCGGGCAATTTAGAGTCTCCAATTAAGCTAACATACTTGTTTTGGGAATGTCGGAGGAAGCCGGCGAGTCAAACCCAAAACCTCAGAACTGTGTGGCAAGCATCGTATAATTTTGGGATACTTTTTATCATTGAACGGTTTGACAAACTTGATTGTTCACCCTTGAGCTTTGCTTATTATCTCCGCAGGCAAAAATAACCATTCTATCCTGATTTTTTTTGCTGCTGAGACAATTGTTTGCTTCCTTTTTAGGAAAAACTAATCCAGCGTGATTGAGATATTGGGCTATTTATTAAAATGACAGAGTAAAACATACTGTATATACACCAGCCTATCCCAGTTGACTTTGGGCGGAAGGCGGACTACATCGTGGGAACACCCATAATCCATTCTGTGTGACGAGCAATTGTGCATGGTTGAGCTCAACAGCTCCTAAGCCACTTTTTCCACAAAGATGCAATGGAGTTCACAACCGGTGTTGGTTACACAGGTGAAGCACAATACCCACTATTTTGTTTCAATTTAGGACTGCATGAGCAGAAAGGTATCGTGACATACGTGAAAGCTGATCCACAAACCCCGGTGCACCCAGGATGCAGTGTTGGTGGAGCAGAGCACAGGACAACGCATAAAATGAACTGGGCTGCAATTTAGCAGATTTGACTGACGGAGTCCTGGTTGCGCCTTGTTTGCAGATCAGTTTCCACATCTGTGTGGATAGACCATTTTTGCATGGGTAAACCTTTAGTAAATCAGGTCCTAACTCTACGACAATAACGCTTGTGTTATATAATAGCTAACTAACATTGGCTGCGGAAGAACCATTTTAGTTTATTTTCTTAAGACATGAAGTAGTCAGCCCGTTATCAAGTAATAAAAGTTTAATCAAAGGCATATCAAGAGGAGCAGAAAAAGCGAGAAATATATGACAGAAGAAGTGTATTACATTTACAATAAATACAATGATGATGTTTCAATAAAAATGTGAAATGTGTTTTTTTTTTCCCAAATGTGTCGAAAGGTGTCCCTTCAAAGTGATGCTGCATGGATTAACAAGTGTGGTCATTTGTAAAACGGTACGTATGAATTCAAATAAAAAGCACATTTCAACAAGAAATTGATGGATTCATAAGATTATAGCATGAGGTCCATTGAGAATAGAAAGTCTCCTTTTTGTTGCTTGGGTCCTCAGTCAACATTCCTGTACCTGGTGAAGAGATTGTAGAGGACCCGTAGGGTTGACTTAAGGTCACAGTTCACGATGTCTGAAAAGGGAAAAAGAAAAGCAGTGATACAGCCATCGTGACAGAGCAATATTCACAATAAAACATTGGGGTATCTTGTAGTTTTCTGTTTTTGTTTTTTTGCTAAGGTCATGTGCGCCACAAAAATGTCCAATAATGTCTCGATTCACCTACCACTTGAATTGCAATAAATTCGAGCCAACCAGGTAACACTGAGTTGTTTTAAGATGGATGTTCACGTAACAAAACAAAATGATGAGTTTTTAGAAACCTTATTCTTATATTATTAAACAGATAAAAGTGGAGTTTTCAGTTTTTTGTGGAGAATGTCCCTGCATTTGTCACGAAGATGATTGCGTAACAGTTTCGTACCTTCTGGCCTTGGCTTTGGTCGCTCCAGTCCTCCATCCTGCATCAGCTCGAAGGAGAAGGACACATTATGCACCTACGGCGAGAGTGAGAAAATATTACACATTACACATGCAGCTCATCATTTTGCCCCCCATGCACCTAAATAAAAGCCGAACACTGCTCTGTGGCAAGCAGGAAACCTGAGGCTAAATGCCACCATACACTATGTGCTGCAGAAACAATATACTTCATGAGTTATCCATATCATACATTTTTATTAATTTTCTAGTTTTAGACTTTAAATAGAAATCATAATAAAAGTGAAACGTTCTTAAATGTAAGAAAGTAGTATATCCATCCATTTTCTGATGCGCTTATCCTCACAAGGGTCGCTGGAGCCTATCCCAGCTGTTTTCGCGCAGTAGGCGGGGGACACCCTGAACTGGTTGCCAGCCAATCGCAGACAAACAACTATCCATGCTCACCATCACACCTA